GCCGAGCCTGGGCCTGCCCCGAGCAGCCGCCAAGTGACGGGCCGCACTGTTGTTACAACCTGCGACAGGTGCTCTGAGGGCGGTGGGAAACTGGGGAAACCTGGAAGGAACCAGCGGAGGAAGAGCATTCTCACCCCTGTTACCCGTGCCTCACCTCTTTCCGAAAAGGATTTGAAGCCCCAAAGGCACAGATACAATTAACTATTGAAGTAAAAGAAAACGAGCGGAGGGTGGAGAGGGATAAATGGGCCGAGGAGGGAGTAACAATTTCAGAGGCGGAAAGAGGGTCCAGCGTTCAAGGGTTTCTGACAACTGCCTGAGACTGACAGGTTACCTACGATCTTGGGAGCCAAGCGTTTTAGGGAAGGGGTCCCACTGGTTGAAGTTCATAGTGCTTGAGTTCAGCAGGATGATTTAAATAAGAACGAATGTTATGGCTTTCTCTTTACTTAAGGATTGTAAAATCTTGGTGAAGAACTTGTAGACTCATTTCAGTACAGCAAAGCTTTAATGATATACCATAAGGTACAAAACTAATTGTCACCAACCTTGATTTTGAAGGGAGAAAACCGGGTGGGGGAGGGAGGTGAACAGCATAGACAGATGATTTTGAAGTTTCGTGATTGCAGACTTGCAGCCTTGGATGCAGCTCCCGCCCCTGAGTTGTGTCTTTAAAGGTGCTCTGGAGTGAAGGTAGAAAAAAGATGGGGAAGGAGGGCCAAGCAGCAGGGTGTTGTGCGGGAAGGATTTACAGTCGGGAAACACTGCAAAAAACAGTGCGGGCCTTGTGGGAGCCTCCTGCAGTACCGTCTTACCAGGGGGCAAAGCTCGAGGCCACAACAGGGAGACATAATGCCCGAGTGGGCAGAGGGGCCAGTCCTCACACCAAACATGACATCACTCACTAGAGCACGGATGAGTGACTGAAGTTGGGGAGACCACATTGGAGGCTGTCACCTTATAGTCCTGAATCCCTCCTTGGGCACTTCAACTCTTCATTTATATTCAACGCATAAACATTCCCTGAGCCCCTTTGGGAAGCAGAAGGAATGAGTACAGAAATAGGACAGGGAGCCAGGGGAAGGAACTCCAAGCTCTAGCTTTTAGTGAGTCCTCGGTTGCAGTCAGATACAAACAGAGCACGCACAGGAACATTCCTTTGAAAACTAACTTATTAACTAGGTGGACTGCACAGCCTGAAAATCTCAGTTTGGTATTTCATTGGTGAACACGGATGGGATGATCGAGGCTTTCACTGCAGGGAAGCACAGCATCTGAGAGATGTAAACTGCATCTGGAAGGAAACTGAAAAGGAGACTTCCTTTGGGTCCTCCCCACCTCACCTGTATATCCTCTGAAATGTGAAAGCATGATACGGTCTTTAGGTTGGGGGGGCGGTCTCATTCATTCCACTTCCAGAGGCAGACATTGCATTTCCAAGTTTGCCCTTCTGGGATATGAATTTTACAAGTCGCACAGCTACAGAGAATTCTCAGCTAGACACATGGGAGGAGATGGAGTTTGGCAACGCTCAGGGAAGGTCCCTGAAGTCCAGCTTGCCCTGCTCCCCTGCTGGGCACAGGAGTCCATGGGCAGGGAGCTGTCTAGGCTGAGGTCAGGAACATCTGGTCAGCAGAGTCTGCAGGAAGGCCCAGGCTGGACCAACTGCCAGCCCCTCCCCACCAGGCTGAACTTGGACATGGAGGACAGGGCCTCCAAGCTGAGCTCTCCACCCTCAGGCTTGAGCAGCCGAAATACAAGATGTAGAAACGGTGGCCCTGAGACAGAAACATCCCACCTCCCAGGTTCCCGAAGGTCCCCACCTCCTAAAGCAGCCCTGCTGCCCAGGGTACCCCAGAATGACAGGGAGGGTAAAAGGGAGGTAAAGAAGTTATGTTTGAAAGACAAAGCTGTCTTCATTTATTTGTCATGATGATGGGGAAGAGGACCGTGAGTTCACAGGCATGGCTGCACAGAACAGGTGGGGGTGTCTACCAGGCTCTCACTGCCAGGAGGCATCTCTGGAAGGGGCTGCCAGCTCACAGACTCTAGACATCCTCCATGCCAATCAAAAAAGTCATGACTGTCCCATTCTTGCCAATCTGCCAGGGCTCCAAAGGGAGAAAGCGGATAATTATCCTTCAGGAGACAGAGAAAAAGATGTCATCAGCTCCTTGGCTATTGCCTCATATTCCAAGACCCCTAGCCAGGCACTCCCACCATGGGCTCCCAGGCCAGCCTGCCTTAGCCCACCAGGTATTTCGCAAGCCTGCTTCACCCCATTAATGCCTGCCCCCCAGCCCCCAACAGGGAAGTGGGTATGTGGGGGCGGGATGGTGACTGCACATCCCACCCAGGACAGACTCTCAACACAGCAGCCTCTGTGGTCACTGTAGGCTCTGTCTGTGGGCTCAGAGAGCCCCCCACTTCTACACTGCAGGCTCCCTGGGGGCATGTGCAGTGCCCCCAGCCACCTAGTTTCTCAAAGCCTGGCTCAAGAAGCCCAGGCACAGAGTGACCCCCATCTCTCCAATAATGTCTGTGGAGTGAATGTGCCCCTCTCACAGAAGTGATAGGAAGTTCCTTGTGAAGAAACAGGACACCTAGGATTGCCTGGGCCAGAGAGGTATATTGACAACCTCACATAGACAGCTTTCCCATCTGTAAAAAAGCATAGTGGAGGTATCCGCCTCGTCATGGACAGGGGGACAAAACTTATAAGGATTAGATGGGATCATGCATGTGAGTTACCATAGAGGATCTGGCACCTGGTATGTTACATGTTACTTATCATTGTTAGAATCATCACCCAGCTTGAGCACTAGGTCTGAGCACCCCCAGGGAGTGACCATTCTTCACCAGCCTTTCTGGGCCAACAAAGGCTCCATTCCGGAAGGTTCTTTGAAGCTTCTCATGCACTTAGTTCCTTGTAGGCATGGACTTGGCTCGGGAATATATTTCACCCAGTGAGAAACTTTAACCTTGCCACAGAATCCTAGGTTTGGGAGCTGTAGGGGCTTCTTGGGAATCATTTAATCCATGCCTCTCTACTCACAGAACAGAAGGCTACAAACCAGAGATGGTTCACTTCCAGGTTCATCTGGGTCCACCAGCTGCAGTGTACCCAGAACCCAGGTCTCTAGACATTCAAGCCAATGCTTTTACACTACTCCATGGCCCTCCCGGGAACCTGACCTGGGACATGGTTGGGCCACAGGCCCAAACTTCACAGCCTCAGGGCATACCCAAAATTCCTTCTGACCAGCTTGGAGAAGTTCTAGAAAATTACTCCTGTTTTCCTAAGATGTGGAGAAGCCTGAAGGCAGATGATAGTGGCTCTGGTTTTGTCAGAGTAATGACATCCTACTCTGCCAGGTGCCAAGGCAGGTACAGTGCCATCCCATACAGCGTCCCAGGGAGTGATTAAAGGAGAGCCTTCCCACTTCACAGATGGAAACACTGAGGTCTAAGAGGCCACGCCTTGGCCAGGTGGCATAGGGACCACTGCAGAGCCAGGAATTCATTCAATAATGCTACCACTATCAAGGTGGACCCACCACAGGGGCCCCGAGGTGTCGAGGGGCCCAGCGGCACAAACCCTTCTTGCGGGCGGTTGAGGAATTTATTTCTTCTCTAACCTTAGGAGGAGCCTTGAGGTGGGTTCCCTGCCCTGGCTCTCGCATCAGTCCCAAGGGGGTCCTCTCCCTGCCCCTACGCACCGGTCCTGGGCCAGGTCCAGCTGCTTGGTGAGGAACTCGAAGAGGCGAGCGCTGTGGTCGCGGTTGTGCTCGGCCGTGCCCACCACACCGATGGAGGAGACAAGTAGCTGCGCGCAGGGCTCTGCCGAGCCGTTCACCACCATGGCCAGGCCAGGCCGCACCGCCACGTTCACGCGCTTCAGGGACACAAAAGTTTTCCCTTAAGCCGGTTTAGGCCGGGATCGCACTGAGGAGCGGTGGAAACGCGTGGGCCCCGCGGGATCTGGGCTGGGGGCACGGGCCGGGGTCCTTGGAGGTCACGTCGGGGTCATGGCTGGGCAAGGTGGCACGGCGCAAACGTGGAGGGTGGGGCCTCGGGGTCCTGAACAGCAGGAGGTCAGAACTTGGCGAGTCGCGGGCGGGCACGTTAGAGTCGGGGTCACGGTGGGGAAGCTGAGCGCGGAGAGCCCGCCCCTGCCCCTCAGCCTCCTCCCGCCCCCTGGTCCCCAGCCCACGCTCACGTTCTCAGGTTTGCCCAGGATGGTCGCAATGGCCGCGCAGAGCCGCTTCTCCAGTCCCGCGGGCACGCGGCCAGCAGGCAAGTTTGTGTCCAATTCAACGAACGGCATGTCTGCAGGAAGGCAAGCAAATGGCTGCGGGGTAGAAAGGACGCCCGGAGTCCAGGTGGGTGTTCAGGAGGATCCAGCAATAGGGAGCAGCGACGGGGCGCCGCGGATGTCCGCTCCTCATTGGCTGGGCAGGCACGCATCCCCGATTGGCTGACCAGGCCACACCCCTGGCCTCAGAAGACAGCCAGGGTGTGCGCTGGTGCGGATTTCCGGAAGTACTGTGGCCGCGCCCTCTCGTGTAACCCTACCCCAACCAGACGGCCAGGCCCGCCCACGCTCCGGCAGCCCTGGCCGCAGTTTTTCGTCTCTGGTAGTTTTCCGGCGCTGCTGCGGTAGTCTGCTTCTTAGCCAAAATTTCGATGGACGTCTGAACACCCCCCCCCAAACACACACACCCGTAGGGGCCTTCCCCAGGCTCGACCTTAATAACGTTACATTGTCACGGAGGCTCAAAAGTTTTTGAATGAATTGCCTCCATGTCAGATAGACAATTTTACGTTCAATGCGGGAATCCGCGTTCCTCTTGATCAGACCTAGTGACACGTGTGGGCTCGAGTGGGCTGCACAGAGACCCTTGGGCTCACTGCATCCTTGCCTGGGCCCCGCAGGTATCTGCCTTTGTGGCCTCTTCTGCCTGTGGGACCCTTGCCTCACGGTGAAGGACCGCCCACCAGGCAGGGTGGGAGCCAGGTCCCAGCGGAATTGAGGCAGGAAGCCCCATAAAAAGACCAGCAGGACCCCTAGGCAGGGCCACTGCTCTTCTCCCAGCACCGTTCTGTTCCCTGGCCCAGAGGCTCTATCTCACTTTCTGCCTCTAAAGCGGCTAACTTACACCTAAAATGCTATTGGTTCCCTGAGCTCACTTCTGATTGGTTATTTCTTTCACTCCTGACTGGGTATTATTCTCACTTCTGATTGGTCTACTTCCCCAACTTCTGATTGGTTCATTTGTAGTACTTCATTTGCATGGAGCTCATTCCTGATTGGTCTATTTCTACAAAGCTTGTTCCTGGTTGGTCAGCTTCTGTTATACTTTATTTGCATATGATGTTGCAAAGTGTAAAACTGGCAGCCTATAAAAAAGGCCTGTGTAAACCTACAAACAGGGTCCAGAGCTGGAAGTATTAAGTCTTCTGGGCCTGCTGGTGTAATAAATTTGAGTTCTCCAATTTTCTTGAGAACTGCTTGGTTTCTCGCCAGGATCCAGGTTCCTGTCACAACTGAGCTGTAACACATTTTTCTGCAACAGAATTATCAGCAATGTTTACAGGACCCTATATTTTTATAGGCAAAACAAAAAATGTTCTTTAAAATGTGGAAACCTATTGACATGGCTAAAATTGTACTCTCAGTGTTACAAGTTTTTTTAAATTGTAAATAAAAAATATAATTGAAATTGTGTGGGTGTATATGAAAAATTTCAATTACCCATCCAAAATTCTATATAAGTGTGCATATTAAAGGAGCCTCCATGGGAGGCAGGGAGGCCAGGAGGCTCTATCTGTCTGTGACACTGTCCCCTTAGCAGTTTATTAGATGATTCAGATATCAGAGGGTCTATGACATAAGACACATAGATTGTGACTGTCCTAAGGGACAGATGGCAGGTCTGGGACCCAGAGTGGAGAAGATAACGCTGGGGTCACAGGTAGACATGGGAGAGCAAGGCTTCTCAGCAGCACCTGGAGGGCCAGGAACTAACCTGAGACTTCCCTCCCTGCAAGGAGGTTCATGAACCAGCTCTGTACCCCACCTATGGGAGACAGTGTCACCCCAGAGGGAGGAGACAGATCTAGGAGACTGAGGTAATTCCTGGTTGAGACATCTCTTTACCAAGTCAACTGTGACATGTGCTCAGCCCAGGGGGCATGGAACTGTTAGGTAGTTTAGACAGAAATGAGCACAGGGCAGGGGGAGACGAAGGGGAAAGGAACAATCCAGAACTCAAGGAACCTGAGCTGTTAATCACAAAACTAGGATATAAAAACAGGAAAAACAAAGGAACAGTGCCATTTTTTCCTCTCTTGGATTGACCACCTCCCAATTCTCGGGAGGGTACTTTTACTATTTTTTTACTTCACTAATAAAAATCTTGCTTATATCACTCTTTCTGTCTCTCGTCAAAAATTCTTTTTTTTTAAGGTGGCTAAGAACCAAGGTAATTCTTGTTTTCCTTTTCCTGGTAACAGAACCAGCTCCCTGGTTCCCTGAGAGAGAGAAGCACTGAGGCTGAAGGGCCCAAGTCACCTGACTTGGCCTAGGGCTGAGGAGGTCTCCCTGGAGAAGGGCATGGTAACAAATGCCAAAAGACCAGGAAGAGCACCAGGCAAAAAGGTGAGTAGAGACCCTGTAAGCTTCGGAAATAGCCTGCACCAAGACCAGGAGAAGCTGGGAGCTGGAGCATGGCAGGAAAATGATGGGCTATTGTGGGAAATCAGAGGAGGTGCCCCAGAGGAGGTGGGAGGGGCAAGGCCTCGAATGCAAAATTCAATGACTTGTCCCCTAGTCTCAGAGCAGTAAGGCACCAAGGGAAAGTTTCAAACAGGAGAGGGCCAGGGTCAAATTTGTGTTTACTAAAGCTCTTTCCAGAGATCACACGAAAGTCAGCGTGCAAAGGGTAAGGGTAAAGTAAGCAGACAGACGGAAGAAGGAACGCAGGACCAATGGGTGGAGGGCACTGTGGACCCGATGCTGCGTCGCAGGGTGTCTTGCTCACAGTCAGGGAGAGGCAGCGCCATTTCTTTATTCTGAGGACAGAGCTCCACCGATGTTGCCCTGCAGGCCTGCCACTCTCACTGCAGCAAAAGCTGCATGAAGGGCTTCAGCTTCTCCTTCATGGCAGCGTCTGCTGGAGGCAGGTCCTTGGCCTTCATGATGGCTGCATGGGCCTCCTGGAAAAGGCCCTCCCCCACTGCAGCCTCCACACGCTGGCGCCAGGCCTCCAGCTTAGGCCGGCTTTTGAAGATTTGGCAGCCAGCACTGACAGGCTAAGGGGAAAGGGAGCCAGCTGGAGGGGTGGGGCCCGGCCAAGCCCAGGGCAGCAAGACCTCATCCCACCCCTCCCTTGGGTGGATTTCCCCTCCTCTGCCACACATGTGATGGGCTGGGGGTTCTCATCCAGGAAATGCTGGGAAGCCCCTCAATACCCCTGCAGGATGGGGTTCTGAAACCCCTTTTTACAGATGATGACACTGAGGCTCCGAAGGGGAAGTGACCCACCCGGGGTCCCCCAGTCAGAATGGGCAACTTGAGCTGGTCCATTGCCTCCCTCCCAGGATGCCCCACTGCCCAGTGGCCCACCTCACCCCATGACACTCACATGCATCAGCTCTGTGATGGCCACCAAGTCAGCCACTGAGATGTGGGATCCTGCAAGGAAGTCCTGGTCCTTCAGGAACTTGTCCTCAAACAGCTGCAGGCACCTGTCCAGCTCAGCCAGAGTAGATGCTAGCGTTTCGGGCGGCACTTGTTGGCCCAGGAACACAGGGAACATCATCTGGCAAGTGGGCAGGTGGAGAAGGGTTCAGGGACTCATCTCTTATACAGACACAGATAGCCTCCACCTCGCCCTGGGTCCTCACTTTGGGCAGCCACAAGGATCCTTCTGCCATGCCAGTCTGCCCATATCTTCTCCCTACATAAAAGCCTTCCATGGCTCCCATGCCCTCACTACAAAAGTCCCAATACAAGGCAGAAGCCATCCTTCACCCGCCCTCACTTCCCACTCCATGCCAGGCTTCTCAAAACTGGAATGTGCGTGCAAATCCCTCTGGGGTGTGGTTAAGTGTACAATCCCTTCTTTTTTTTTTATTGGAAGTACTAGGGATTGAACCCAGGACCTCCCATATACTAAGCATGCACTCTACCACTGAGTTATACCCACCTCCCCAGGTGTACATTTGTAATCAGTACACATGGGTGAGGCCTGAGACTGCTTCTCCAACAAGCTTCCAGGTGGTGCTCAAGCTCCTGGTCCACAGACCACACTGAATGACAAAGATCTACACCCACTCTCCTCGACTTCTCCCCACTCTGCCCTCCAGTGCACCAGGCTCCCTCCCCCAGAACAGCTTTTAAAGCTATGAAAACCTCTGTGCCAAGTGGACCTCCAGAATGGTGGTTGTATACCTCCGACAGGGCCTGAGCAGGCCCAGCTCACACTTCCTCACACACACAGGGCGCCTGCTGTATACCGGGCACTGTGTAAGTGCTCTTTGGGTAATAACACAGAGTTCACATTCCAAAAACATCTGCACGTTTGGTAAGTGAAAATGGTATCTGCATGCTGTTTCAATGTGCACTGACTTGATTTAACTGGATTTAAATGTGTTTTCATCCATTTATTGACCATTTGTCTCTGTCCTTCAATTACATCTCTGCCGCTTTCCTTTGCCCATTTTTCTCCTGTGTCATTATCTGATGGGTGTCTAAGAGCATCTTAAATATTAAGAATGTTACTTTGGCAGGGAGGTTATAGCTCAGTGGCAGAGTGCCTGCCTAGCATACACAAGGTCCTGGGTTCAATCTCCAGCACCTCCATTAAATAAACAGACAAACAAATAAATAAATAAACCTAATTACCCCCCCAAAAGAAAAAAATCTATTTAAAAACTTATAATAATTTTACTTCTTTCTAACATAACTGCCGAGATCTTTCCCAGTTTTTTACCTGTTTTAAGTTTAATTCTTTTTTTTTCCATATACAAATTTCACTGTGTAAAGTTGATTAGTCTTTTTTTAAGTCTCCCGCTGTTATTAGGGTTATAAATTCTTGCCTATCCAGAAGTCAGATTAACATTTATTTCTTCCGGGTTTTTTTCACGAACACCTCTCCATCTGGAAAGTATGTGTGTAGCAAAGGGGGGTTCAATTCTTTTCTCCCCCAAAAGGCAATATTCCCAGGCAGCCTGGAATGTGCAAAAGGGATTAATTTCCAGCAGCTGAGGAATCAAGGCAGATTGGGGGAGTCACTTCCCAGCTTTGTTCCTTGGTTTCCCCGCTAGGAAACAAGCCAGTTGGACTAGGGAGTCTCTGGCATTCTAGAATTTGGTGTTCTGAAGTCTCAGGTCTGAATGGAATGTTTTAGACAGAAAGCACCTTCCCCCGAGCATCCT